AAAATTTTATTTTCTTTTTTCGTTATTGATTCTTTTATCCTATAACGCATTAATATTTCATTTTGTTTTTATCCTTTTTTTTTATTTTTGTCATAAATTTTCATTTTCATCATTTCCTCTGTTTTTACCTTAAAACTTTTTCATTTTATCATTTTAGTCTATTTTTTTACATTTTCTTTATTTTTTTCCTAAAATTTTATATTATTTTCTTTGCAGTTTTTTTATCCCAAAACTTATTTATTTCTTCATTTGGGCCCCTTTTTTACTATTTTTTTATTTTTCCCTAAAATTTTTATTTTTCGTTTCGTTTCTTTTTACGCTAAAGCTCATTTATTTCTTCATTTTAGTCATTTTTTACCCTTGTTTATTTTTGTCCTATAATTTCATTTTTCTTGAAATTTTATTTTTATTCATTTTGGTTTTTTTTTTACCCTAAAACTTATTTATTTCTTTATTTTGGTCTTTTTTTACTCTCTTTTTCATTTTTGTCCTAAAACTTTAGCTCTTTCATTTTTGTCTCTTTACCTTAAAATTTATTTATTTCTTAATTTTAGTCTTTTTTGACATTTTTTTGGCTTCTTGTCTAAAACTCTATTTTTTTTTCCATTTTCTCTTATTGGGATTTTATATTTAAATTTTATATAGTTTTAATATTGATACGGTGATTAAAACTTAACACACGAATTAATCTCCATGTGCGTTGAGATAATTTAGTTGATAATAAGGTACTTTCTTTTAGAACTGAAATTCTTTTTCGAATAGAAAAATAAAGAGATTGAGAGAGTGAATATTATACTTTTTCCACTATAATAATTGCAAATAACTTTCACATTAAAATGAATTACTATAGATGTTGTTTGTGCTCCGTTTGTATTTGTCGTTTTCTTGTTTTCTTATTTCTCTCGAATAGAGTAAGAAGCGGAGATTTTAATTCTAAAAAAAATCCTTTTCTTCAAAAATGGAAACAAATAGAATTTTTTTTTTTAAATAGCATGTAACGCCTGATCGTAATTATAAAAAAACGACATTGTAAATCTTTTAACAAAAAGGCATTAGAAATACATAGAGTTATTTTTTTCATCAAAAACATATATCTATTAAATAAATTTTTACCTATTTAGTGTCGGTAAAAACATCGGAATATAATGCATTGCATCTTTCTGCTTACGTATATTGCATGATCTTGTGGGGATTATTTCATAAACAATTGGTCAATTATTGAAGGCAAATTAGATTACATTAGCAACTCTATGTATTGACAAGAACAATAATTTCAAGTGAAAAGGAAGGATAAAAATTTCAGGTGACCCACCTTTTTTTCGTTTTTCGAGGGCAATGATTGAATTAACCAAAACGTTAACAAGAAAATGGGTAATAAGTAAGAGTGGCTGTCAATATTAATGAGTCGTGTTCGGATCAATATATTTATTAATCGTGTAAAAAAATATTAAGTTAAATATGACTCATTTATTAATTATGTTAATTATGTAAATTTGTATAACATGTTTAAATTAATATATTGAATAAATAATTAATATAATAATAACTTATTTAATACGGTCAAGACATGTTTAACATATTTATTAATCAATTTATCTTTTCTTTAAAGAAAAATAAATGAATTTTACCTATAAATATTAAAATTCACATTATTTGCATTTAATATGTCATATACACTTTCATGTTATATCACATATCATTATATTGCAGGTGACACATATAGTTAATCATGTCAATTCATGTCACTTCGTATTAGGAGGTCAACTCTAACCCAACCCATTTATTAAACGTGTCAACCCGATTATGATCCAAACTCATTTATAGTAAACCCAAACCCGCTAACTTCATGTGGGTTTCAAATCGTATCGTCATGTCGCTACCCGGATTACTAGCTCTATTAATAAGATTCATAAAGACACAAAAAGATGCAAAGGATAATGCGTTGTTGAAAATATGTTTTTTTTTTCCTCGCTTCTCGCTGAAATAGTATATGATTCTTCTTGAACTAATACCTTTAAAAATAATAAATAGAGAGTTTCCTCGGTAGTCTTTTTTTACCAGTAGTTTCAATTTTTAACAGTTAAATTTAGTTAAAATGATATAAAATTAAAAAAATATGCAGAATAAATAAATTTTAATACACATCTGACAGTTAAAAATAAAAAGATTACTGATAGTCTACTTTTACAGGAATTACTAGAGAAAGTCCTTGAATTAATTTTTTTTTTTACAATTATTACGGTGCTCAAGGTAGTTGCAATGTCTATCAAATGCACCACAATTTGTTTTTTTTTTCCAATTAATTGGAAAAAAAAAATATGAAAGCAGTTTCACGCTTCCCTATATCACTTTCAACTACCTATAAGTTGCTAATCAACCATATAATTTGTCAAAGTAATCAAAGACTTTTAAATTAATCTTTCTCTTAATTCTTGGTTGGTTGGGAGCTAAGATTAGGGACCCATGTTTTTTCGTGAATACAATGCAAAATTAACATCTTTGCAAAAGTCTTCTGAGGTGGGTCCAATGATATGATTTGAGCTAGTTCTCCAACTTGTATAATCAAATTCTCAAAAGTGGTTTACCAAAAGTTTTCCATTAATTATATGAAGAGAACATATTATTGTTATCGTTATGGGTAAAGGGGATGAACGTAATAAAGATCAACAAGATATCAATTTGCACATAACCATTTTGAGGAAACACTACAGGAACAATTTGATTTTTATTTTTATCTTACATATATACCCATTAAAGTCGGTTTATTTATTTAGTTTATTTAGTTATTAGTAACTATCAAACACAATGCCACTTTGGACACAATTCATTAATACATAATTGATGTAGAAAAACAAGACGTCACTAGTAGTGTTGAGATTTATAAGTCCGACTAGCACTTGGTCAAGATTCAAACTTTTGTTACCCCTTTATTACGAAATTAAAAAAAAAGAAAAAAAAAAAAGAAAAAGGATACCCTGTTATCGTGTATTTCGTTTCCCATATTGTTAGGAGCTTCTTACGGTGCATGTCTTTGTAAAAGTCTCACTTTCATTTTTTTTTTATTCAATTTAGGTCCTTGAATATTATTTTTTTAAATTGCCAAAACATAATTAAAAAAATTACAATATTACGAAGGAAAATTGAAAAAAAAAATCTCATATTTTATTCTAATTAAATGTTCATTTATATATATTTTTAAAAAGTTGACTATGTGTTTCAAAAAATATAAGACAACTTAAAAGAAAATACCAAAATAACAATCAATGAAAATTATATTTTTGATAAATTATATAAATTTCCTCTGAACATGTCGCTTCTGTCAATATGACTCTCAAATTTTAAAACGTATACGTTTCCACCTTGTTGCATAATATGTCTCTAAATTCACTCTTAAATTATGAGACATACTATTTTTTAGACATACTAGCACATACATTACAAATGAAAAGAGGTCATGTTTGTCAATTTCTATAAACCCTTAACTAAATTAAATGAAATGGGATTTGTTCTCCATTTTTTCCCTTATTTTTTCCTTGGAGCAACTATTTTAAAGTGCAAATATATTTAAGACTTTACGTCTAACTAATTTATTTGGATTGAAAAGCATTTATAACCCTAAATGTTGCACCTAAATTTAGAATAAGTAACAACTGCGTAATACCATCCACAAAATAACATGTTTTAAAGACGGGGTTAAATCTAAAAACATATTATAGATCATGACGCAATAATTAGGTATGTTTTAAAGTTTGAGGGGCATGTTTACATAAATGATATAGTTTTGATATATTTATGTCATTATCTAACTATTTATAGTCACATCTATCATAGCGGAGAGAGAAAGAGATAATAGTTTTGACATATTTATGTCATTATTTAGCTATTTATAGTCACATCTATCATAACGGAACCAAACACAAAATATAAAAAATATCTTTTTTATTATTTATCGAAGAGTAAGTTACCCAATTATTCAATCCATCAAAATATTAAAAATATTTCATAATATTTATTGTAGGATACTTTCTCTTTTCTTGTCTCATAAATTTCAAATAAAAATCCAAACATTGACTTTCAGGATATGCACTGTGGCGCCTTAAAGTCCAACAATTACCATAAACAAATATATATATATATATTACCATCAAATTTGAATTTCTAAAAATATAAGCGTAAACATTTAATAAAAACAAAAGAGAAGGGGTGTTTTTGAAAATGTTCCCAGCAAGTAACAAGAAAGAAATAAAGGAAGGGAAAGTAACTTACGCGCGTAGTGTCAGAAATTATATACGGGTGCGTTTAGAATTGGTTCAAAATAATTTTATTTTTAATAAAAAATAAAAATAAAATTATTTTAAAAATTATTTTAAGATATATTCTAAAATTACGTTTAAGTGAGTTTTTAAGAGATTATTTTTAATATAATAAAAAATAAAATCGTATTTATTAATTAATATATTATAATATTATTAATATATTTTAATTCTTTAATAAAAATAATTCTCATTGTTATTATTTTTATTTTCATTTTTAAAATATTTATTAAACAAGTTATTTTACTTTTATTTTCATTTTTTATTTATTAAAATACGAGAAAACCGTTTTTAAAAAATAATTCCAAACTCTAAATATGTACATGGGCTCGTTCGGTTCGCTAATTCGAATTTTTAATTTGAGTTGAGATGTGATGTTATGTGAGAGTTTTTTACTGTAATAAAAAAATTAAATGTGACTGTTTCTAAAAGCTTTTTATTATAATAAAACTCGAATTCTAAAAATTAAATGTAACTGTTTCTGAGAATGTGAGAGTTTTTTACTGTAATAAAAAAATTAAATGTGACTGTTTCTAAAAACTTTTTATTATAATAAAACTCGAATTCTAAAAATTAAATGTAACTGTTTATGAGAACTTTTTATTATAATAAAACTTAAATTTTAAACTCAAATAATCAAAATAAATGGGGCCATAAATTAGAATTCAATGCTTCCGTCAAGACTAGTATGGCCTTCTCTCCTTCCATAAACAAAAGTTAAAACTAAAAAAAAGGAAAAAAAGAAAAGAAAAGCACAGAGCCACAGATCTTGAAGCTGACTCCTCTAAACTCTGCCATTCGCGTTTTTCCTCAGATCTGAATCCTTCCCTTCTCTCTCATGTGACGTCAAACTAAATCCTCTAAAATAAAATAATAAAATAAAACAAAACAAAACAAAAACTCAATCAAGAAAAAGCAAAGCTACTAGAGAGAAGAAGCAGAATTATACGAGAAGAAGTCCCGCTTTCTCTCTCTACTTTCTTTCTCTTCTCCTGGATCTTAATAATGGAGGAGTAGGAGCATAGGACGGCGAAGACGATGAGCCGGAGCGGGAGGAGCATTAATCCGGTGCTGTCGCAGCACCGGCGAGGTCACAGCCTCAACCTCGCCGGAGGAAACAAGGACGCCGTCACCGACGAGAACAACCTGGATCTCTTCTCCAAGAATCGTCGGAGCCTCTCCGTTACATCCTCCGACGAATCCTCCGATGGTACATTTCCGCTTTTTTTCCCCGAATTGCCCCTCCTGGATTGTCTCGTTTCGCTTTGTTTTGTAGTCAATTGTGAGGTATTGAGTTTGTTTTACTCCTAGGACAAATACGGCCATCGGAGATTGATTTATCTCTCGGATTTTGTCGGTATATAGTTTTTTCTTTCCCTGATTAGACCGAGACACTAAAACGGCGTCGTTGCAAAGTGTTTTTGTCTGATTTCAATGGTGATTTTCGTTTATAGATTTGATTTTTGATTATTTGAAGGATTTAATTTATTTTAATTTAATTTGTTCTTGTTTTAGTTTCGGTGAAATTGGGGAGATTATCAGTTGGATCGGCGAAAGTGTCTAGGAGTGGCATTGATGATCTGCTGTCGTCCACAGATGGAGGAAAGCACGACTATGACTGGTCGGTCTCCAACTACCTTATCAACTCATTTTCATTCTTTTGATAATTTTCAATTTTTACTTCAGATCTAGATCTTATCAATCTCTACACCTTATCCTTATTTGTTGCACGTTACATATAGTTTTTTGTTTTTTTTTTCATTATTTAATTTTCACGGCCTTTTCCTTTCTTATTTTTTCGGGTCAGATTATCTTTTTGCTGGTATATATATATATATATATTCAATATATGTATATATATAATATATATTTCCGTTTTTCAGTTAATGACTTTAGAACTTCCATCGATGAATGATCAATAGCTTTTCCTTTTAAGTAGAAACCACAGGAAGAGAGATCTAATTCAAAAAATTTGAATGATCGTGTTTGTGAATGATTAACATGTAAAAGTTAGCAATTTCTGACCCGTTCGATTCATAGTTTTAAACAGAAATTTATTTATTTATTTATTTTTTAAGAGATTATTATAACAAAAAGGTTTGAACTGTGGTTCAAACCCACTAAAGAAAGACTAGAATATTTCCGTGACTCGTGTTGATGCTATAAGCTTACAGGCTTGTGATGTAATAATTCCAGACTGGTATACCGTTTCTAGCACGACTAAATTTGAAGAACAAGGGAGTCTTCTATTCAATTCTTGCTTGATTTTTGAAGATAAAATCTACTCAGTTAAAGGCATATAAAAGCATATATTGCAATTTTCTTTTTAAAGAAATTAATGAAAACGAAGTTAGCCCTTCCTTTCATATTACTAGGCAATAAGTTCAATCACTCATTTGAAAAGTGTCTTTATCTCGGCCTTTTTTCAAATTGAGACATGCCTCCAAAATGCAAGAGAACGTCATGAGATATTTTCCATCTTTAAATTTTGTTGCCAGATGAACACAGCTTTATGGTTATTGAGTATTGTTCCGGGGTTTGTTTTTAGGAATTAAAATACTTAATTATACATTTCTGGGTCTGATATATATATATATATATATTTTATTTTATACATCTTCTGTTTTTAATTAGGCTTCTTACTCCTCCTGGAACTCCAACCATCTTTCCTTCATCAGAAGGTAATGAGCCTCAACGAACCATAGCAGCTCCAAGAAGCAGTTCCTTAGCCAGATCAGCTTCTACTACTAAGGCTTCGAGGGTATGTCTTGCTATGTATTAACTCTTTTTATTTTATGTTCCTTCAACAATTCTTTCCCAACATTACATCGTTTTCAGTGTCATTGCCTATTTAAGAAAAATAAATTAAAATTGGTCTCACTCTCTTCATCTATGTTTCGGCATAGTGAGCTAGCTTCTTCCAGGTGAAGAATCAACTTTTTCCTGATGCCGAAGTTTTTTAGTGCCATTTTCACTTATTACAATTTATTTTTTCCTAGCACAGCTGGGATAAACTTTCTGCAGTGTAATAATGTGAATTATAAATTTCCTATAATCTCTCTGTTTCAGCTTTCTGTTTCACAATCTGAAACTAACCACTCGTCAAGACCAACTCGAAGCAGCTCAGTGACTCGCTCTTCAACCTCCACATCATTGCACAATACTTATTCCTCAAACAGATCCTCCAACATACTTAACACAAGCTCAGCTTCAGTTTCATCTTATACGAGACCAGCCTCCCCCATTACCCGCTCTTCATCCACGGCAAGACCTTCCACTCCTTCCAGCCGCCCAACACTATCACGACCCTCCACTCCTTCTAGAGCCCATCCGAGTCCGACCAGCTCCTCGGCAGACAGAAGTCGACCAATTCAAAGCTCAAGGCCCTCCACTCCTAGTTCTAGACCACAAATCCCTGCAAACTTGAGCTCCCCAGCAGCTCGATCAAATTCTCGTCCATCTACTCCTACTCGCCGAAGTCCAGTATCCACCATCTCTCCCGCAGCAAGTCCCTCAATTTCAAACGGTCGTGTCTTATCAAATGGACGCAATCCAACTTCATCTTCCCGACCAAGCTCTCCAAGTCCACGTATTCGGCCTCCTCCTCAGCCAGTTGTTCCCCCTGATTTTCCTCTTGACACGCCGCCAAACCTTAGAACAACTTTACCAGATAGGCCACTTTCTGCTGGTAGGTCCAGACCAGGTAGTACAGTAACAATGAAGGGCAATTCTGAAACCACAACAACTGCCAATACATCAAGAAGGCATTCTTCACCAATCGTTACAAGAGGAAGACTCACAGAACCCGCTGGGAGGGGTCGTCTACAAGGCAATGGACACTATACCGATGCTGAGCCTCGGAAGGCCTCTCATGCCCCTGATTTGACCATGAGGAAACCTGTGAAGGCATCAATAGCTTCTCTAGATAACGGCGGATTTGGAAGGACTATCTCAAAGAAATCTCTGGATATGGCCATCAGGCACATGGTATGTGTACTCTCACAGTCTCACACATTATTATCATAATAAATGACAGCGTACGACATAGGAAAGATGTCAAAAGTTTTAGATCAACTACTTTATTGTTATTTATCAAAAATTAGTTTATTGTTTGACCAGACCAGTTTGATTGAAAATTCTAAATCATTTATAGACAGTTTTTGGATCATGGTCCTTATCTTTTTGTTGTTAGAACTATTGGACATCAGTTTCCATCCATTTTAATGCAAACAAAGGCAGTATATTTAGAAAGTGACACTGCCATCAGGAAGATGGTGTCACCCTTGAATTCTATGACCCTTGAATATTGTAGACCTATAGTTATATTTTGCTTTCACTTTGTTCCATTTTGATAGATTTTGTTGGATAACTGTCGCGATTCCCAAAATCACCACAATTTCTGAAATCTAAATCCTACTGTTATCATTATCATTATCATCTAAACAAAATCAACATGTTATTATCCAAGTAATCACCGTTATCATTGTGTGAATTTACAAGGAAAAGGTTATGCATCATACATTTCTCGAAATGGGATAAGAACAAGAACGATGTCGTTACATCTGCTTGTTTTGTTGCAGAAGCAAGAGATTTCGTGACTAAAAACAAAATCCCCTTTAGAAGGGGAAGCCTTTTATTCGACTGTATAATTCCTAACATCTGAAAATTCTGATGCAGGATATAAGAAGTGGTGGAGGGAACGTTAGGCCACTTGCTGGCACCACTCTCTTTCCCCAGAGCATTCGATCTGCTTCTTCAAAAACCCAGTCTATTCGTAGTTCGAGTGCTCCGTCATCTATCATAAATGGAGGCTTACAAACCAGCTACAATGGAATCATTTCAGACAATGGAAATGCTATTGATAGGCCTGCAGAAAATGGAATCGGAGCTGATGGTGGACGACATTTTGCAAAATTGAATGAAGTCGACATATACGAGAGCTCGAGATATGACACGCTTTTGCTCAAAGAGGATTTGAAGAACACAAATTGGCTGCACAGTATTGACGACAAAACAGATCACGGACCTATCTTTGATAATGGATTCGAATCTCTGCCCGAACCTTTTGGCCTCTTGTAACATCTGATAAAGTGGTTTTCGTTTTATTCCTTTTTTTTTTTTTTTTTTGGGTATGCTAAGTTATCATTTCCATGAATTATTTGGTTTCTTTATAAAGAACTTAACCTGTCAAATCACTCCAAATAGAAGAATGAAAAGGCAAATGTGTAATCTACCGAGAGATCATTGGACTAATTTTTGTTCTATATATGAAAATCTCGTCTCTTGGCACAAAAAATAGAAGCATTGGTGCTTCCAAGGAATTGGCTTTAAGTGTGGAGTAAAATCAAATGTGAAAAACAAATAAAATAAAATAAAGGCAACTTAAATAAGACAATTCATAGTTCCTAGCAACCAAAAATAAATAAATAATGAAAACAAAAAGTATAAATAATCCCAATCCCATTTTTTTTGGTGCCACTACAAGGAGAGAAAAGAATAAAAGTAACCCTAAATAAGTTTTTCAATTATTGACTCATAATTCCAACTTTCATGGAATAAGTAATTCTCCATTTAAAGAGGTAGGTGCTGATTCCATTGTGGTGGGTGTCACCCTAAACACATAAAGGTACAATGAAAACAGCGGAATCAACTAGAATGATAATTTCTGATATCTCCGTTTTAACTAGGACAATAATTCTTGAATTTCAACGCCAATAAAGATTGAGAAAAGGAAATTTTCCAATTATTTACTCATAATTCCAACTTTCATGGAATAGACTCTATATTTGAGAGGTGGGCAAAAAAAAAAAAAAACACACACACACACACACAAGGTACGATGAAATCAGTGTGAATTCAAGGCCCTCCAGTTCAATTAGGATGATAATTCCTTTATCTCTACTCTAATGAAGATTAAGAAAAGGACATTCTTCAATTATTAACCCAATCCCAACCTTCATGTGGTAGGTGTTACTAAATACATAATCTAACTAATAGATGCCAATCCAATCACATCTTTAGTAATAATCCTATTTAATCTTTTGCACCAAACAGTCTAACAAATTTCTATGGATTATTATCACTTATGTCCCTTGAACTTTAGGGTCAATTTTAATTTGTTTCCTGAACTTTAAAAACTCACTTTGCTCCATGAATTTTAAATTGTTTCCACTTAACCATTTTTCATGTAATTTTTGTTAAAAATAGAGAGAAAAAAAGAGAATAACGCAGATCTTTCTGTTTGAATTTATGTTAACAAACAGATAAAAAACTATATGACCACACTTAATATCCTTTTTTTCTATATGGTTTTAACAAAAATTACAACAAAAAGAATTAAAGGATAACAATTCAAAATTTATGAAATAAAGTGAGAATTTTTAAAATTTAAAAATAAACTAAGAAAGAGCTCAAAGTTCAGAGAGCATGGGTGGGAATAATCTGATTTCTAAACATCACATACGGTTAAAAGCGCTGATCCTATGAAACCGGTTGCACAGTTCATCACATAATGACCTAATACCTATGTACTAATTTCTAGTGTATAACTCGTTTTGTCCAATCCACGTCGAATTTAATAATTGTAGTAAATAGTATTTTTATTATACTAAAGTAAGTAAATAGTATATTTAAAAATATTTAAAGTAAATAAATAATTTAAAGGGCTGATTTTCTCTGGTTGGTTCGTTTTACTTGTGCATTGCTCTCATGACTAACTGGGCTTTCTATTGGTGTTTTGTTGGGACCATGGGGTAAGCTGGTGGTTGACTGAATCTTGATTAAATATTGATCATTACGAACTTGTTTGATGTATTCACATTCTTTATAGAAAGTGTAATAATTTGTAATGTACAAAAGTTTACCAACCAAAAAAGTCATCATCAAAATGATATGATCATTTTGCTAAAACATATAATAGCCCCGTTCATTTCGCCGATTCGAGTTTTACTACAGTAAAAAGCTCTCAGAAACAGTCACATCTAATTTTTTTACTACAGTAAAAAGCTCTCACACAAAATCACATCTCAACTCGAATCAGCGAAGTGAACGGGCCCAATATATATGCCATAATTATTGTAATGTTTTGAGCACTAATGAGATAGAGTTAGAAAACAAAAACGCCATAGAAAACTAGAAATCTCAATATTCATAAAGCATCTAGAACTCTCTTAATGAAATTACAATTATTAAGGTATTTAAAAAAATCTAAAACTAATAAGATAAATTTAATTGTTTATTTTGAATATTTTAAATAATCCTAGAAAATAAATATAAACTTAAGTAAATCCTAAAAGGACTTTAAATTCAAAATATTTGAAATTATCTAATGATATTCCTCATCATATTATGCTATGTCTCATTAAAAAAAAAATGTCACACCAACATATTTTGATTACTAAAACAATGCCTATATCAGTATCATACCAGTACACCTGCAGTAGCCCACAAATGATTGTTTATCTACTATGCCATGCAGTTTGTGCTCAGCAATAGCTGCACAAACTGCATGTAGATAAAACATTGACACAATTAGATGTGCTTTTCTATGGCATAGTAGATCTGATTTTCTCAAAAACAAAAGTACCGGAAACTATTATTAATTTAGTTAGTTTTTACTTAGTTTGCTACTATATAAACAACAGAGTTTATGTCATAAAAGATTTTAACATATAGGAATTTTTTCTGATAGGGCCAGTTTTTAATCATTTGAAATGATATACAAAATAGACTTTTTAATATAAATCTCACGACTAAACGACTAAAAATAAAAAGTTACCAATAATTTAACCCAGGCCAGAATCATGTTGGGTTGGCTTGTCTGTACATATCGCAGTACAATATATCCAGCGACCTTCCTCCCCTTGTCATATTCTAACTACTCTTGGATTAGTAACATTGTCGACTTTTGCATTAAAAAAGTATTATCAACTACATTGACATACTATTAATAAAGTAATATTTTAATGATCTGTTAATTTTTAGATTATCGATGACGTATGGAAGACTCAAAAGTCAAAGACCCACATGACCTACTCATGTGCTTCCATTATCAACAGTCTTGCAGTACCATTAAACTTTTCTAGCAGTAATTGATTTTTGATCTGTTGTTTATGTTCGATCATCATATATCATACATGTACAACTTGATCAAGTTTTAATTGAAATTTATTCTAGGTCCTTTTAATCTTTCTTCTATAACTCTTTTATATAGGATTTTTTTATTTTATTTTATAAATAACCTTTGAAGTAGCCTCAATCACAACAACTGGCCTCCAACATTTACTTTTACAATGGTACGTTATCTTAAAATTTGAAATTAAGAATTTTAAACTTAGGGTTTGTTTGAGATAGTTTATATTTGTATTTTTAAGTAATAAAAGTAGATAAGCATAAATTAGAGCTTTTTAATTAGTGTTTAGATATGTCTGAAAAAATATTTTTATATCTAAAAAGAACTTTTGAATCTATTTGGGTAAAAAAAATCAAAAGCAATTATTGTTATAAAAGGTAACGTAATAAAATAATATGGATGAGATATTTAATTTGTTCAGAAATAAATTTTTTTTTCATAAACACTAAGGAGATAACTTGTTCTAAAAATGCTTAAAAAGTGAAAAATACTTTAAAATTGTCTATCTAAACAGATTCAAAAACAACTTTTGAACTAAATAAACTAAAAGCAGCTTTTTTAAAACTAATCCAAACGAAACCTTAGTCCCTCCATCAAAATTCCTTCAATCCAAAAATTATCAGAACAAGTGACATGATCGCACATGGTGGTAACTTTAAGTTTTATTTCTTTCGGGTCATAAAAAAAAAACTAAAATAAATCATAAATCAAAGAAGCAAAAACCATCTTTACCCTTAACCAAAAAAAAAAAAAAAAT